AAATAGCAGGACTGAAAATAAACAGAGAAAAAACTAAAGTAATAGTTAAAAATATCTCAGATAAGCAAAAAAACAAAACAAAACAAAAAAACAAATGTCAGAAAAAATAGAACTACAAATAGTTAAAAAGGTTAAATACTTGAGAATATACTTAACAGCAAGATGTTCAACAATGTTGTTGTTGTTAATTGCGAAGTCGTGTCCGACCCATCGCGACCCCATGGACAATGTTCCTCCAGGTCTTCCTGTCCTCTACCATCTTCTGGAATCCATTTAAGTTCACACCTTCTGCTTCAGTGACTCCATCCAGCCATCTGATTCTCTGTCGTCCCCTTCTTCTATTGCCCTCAATCTTTCCCAGCATTAGGCCCTTCTCCAGTGAGTCCTTCCTTCTCATTAGGTGGCCAAAGTATTTGAGTTTCAACTTCAGGATCTGGCCTTCTAAAGAGCAGTCAGAGTTGATCTCTTCTAGGACTGACCGGTTTGAACGCCTTGCAGTCCAAGGGACTCGCAGGGGTCTTCTCCAGCACCATAGTTCAAAGGCCTCAATTCTTTGGCGCTCAGCCTTTCTTATGGTCCGGTTTTCACAGCCATACATTGCAACTGGGAAAGCCATGACCTGGACTATACGCACTTTTGTTGGCAGGGTGATGTCTCTGCTTTTTAGTATGCTGTCTAGATTTGCCATAGTTTTCCTCCCAGGAGCAAGCGTCTTTTAATTTCTCAGCTGCAGTCCCCATCTGAGGTGATCTTGGAGCCCAGAAAAATAAAATCTGTCACTACCTCCATTTCTTCCCCATCTATTTGCAGGAATTCAACAATAATAGAAGATAATTATACAAAATTATTGAATTAAATAAGATTGGACAGGGAAAAATGGAAAAACCTGCAACTGTCGATATTAGGAAGAATTGCTACACTGAAAATGAATATATTATCAAAAAACTTGTTTCTATTCCAAACAATACCTATAAAACTTGAGAAAAAATTCTTTGAAGATTTAAATTCATTAATTTTGAAATATATTTGGCAAGGAAAGAAAGCTAGAATCAAGATGAAAATGATACAAGAAGCCAAGGAAAAAGGAGGTTTTGGTTTGCCAGAGTGGGTCTTATATTATCAAGTATCTGTATTAACATGGGTAAAAGAACAGGTAACTTTTAGAAACAAAAGGTTGTTAAATTTGGAGGGACATGATTTACAACTGGGTTGGCATGCTTTTTTATGGGATGGGAAAAACAAAATCCATAAGTACTTTCAAAACCACTATATAAGAAACGCATTATCATTAACATGGGAAAAAATAAAACGTAAAATATACTTGAAAATTCCAGGATGGCTTTCAACAATGGAAGCATTTGTACATCCAAATTTAGTTAACTTTGAAAAAATTTGGACATACAGAGATATTCTAAATTCTGAAGGGAACTTAAAATCTAAACAAGAAATGGAAAATCAGGGTATCAATCTATCATGGTGGACATACTTACAAATGCAAGTTAAATATGATAAAGATGTCAAACTGTACGGATTCTATAAGAAACAAACCTTGTTTGATAAGACATTATTAACCTGTGATGAGAAATTAATTAAGAAAATTTATAATTTTCTATTGAATTCGAAAATGGAAAGCGAACAAGTTAAAGAAACAATGATAACATGGGCAAATTTTTTTGGATATAACATAGAATTAGAAAAATGGCAAAACTTGTGGGAAAGAAATTATAAATTGACAATGTCAACTTCTTATAAACAAAACTTATATAAAATGTTTTATAAATGGCACTTGCCACCAGCAAGATTAGCAAAAATGTTTAAAAACATGTCAGATAGATGTTGGAAATGTAAACACAAGTCAGGTACTTATTACCATGTTTGGTGGACATATGCCAAAGCAAAGAAGTATTGGAAAAAAAATACATATTTGGCTAGAAAAGATGTTGGGAAAACATACAGATTTTAAACCTGAATTTTTTTATTAGGTATAATGCCAGAAAAGACTGACAAACAAAGCATATATTTGATTTTTCATGTAATAACAACGGCAAGGATTATATTTGCACAATACTGGAAAAATGAAAAAATACTATCAGATGAAGAAATAATTAAAAAAATATGTGTGGAGATGGACAGACTTACTTTGAGGTTGAAAGAAACAGAAGAAACAGAATATTATCAAACTTGGGACTTATTTTATCAATGGCTAGAGAAAGAATAAAGGATTAGGAATTAAATTTTTATTAGTGAACGTAAAACTCAGACAACACGTTTGTTGAACAAGTACTATTGAATATATGAAAAAAATCAATAAAAAAATTTATATTTAAAAAAAGGTGGGCGGGACTTAGATCTCGTATGGGCTCCCAGGGATTTGTGACTTATGATGTGTTTGACTCCTTCCCTCCGGCTCAGCCTGGTTATCTCTTACATTGTCTTGGCTATTATTTTTGATCAGGCCCAGCTCAAGAACAACACAGAAAAACCAAGCCAAAATTCACTTCTTTGTTTCCTTATACCATATAGACAGAATCTTGCCAAACTAACCCTATACTACTCAAACCCTAATGGATACATTAGTCTAAGGAGTGGCTATCCTAAATCTCTGTCTCCAATCCATCTCGGGCTATATTGTCGATTGTCCCTTCCCACACCTTGGAATGTGCTTTTTCCTTCCTTGGAAACTGCCTTCTTCACTGTAGACCAGGGGTGTCAAACTCAATTTCATTGAGGGCTGCATCAGCATTGTGGTTGCCCTCAGGGAGTTGGGTGGGTGTGGCCTACTGGGTGGGTGTGGCCTACTGGGTGGGTGTGGATAGTGGGTGTGGCCTACTGGGTGGGGTGTGGCCAGCTCTACATCGTTCACGTCAAGGGTGCCTGTGGGGGCCTGGGCAGGATAGATCTGTTCCTCTCAGGCCATGCGGGGGGGGGGGCTTATGGAGCTAAGACTGAATGCGTTTCAGCATAGATGGCCACCACAAAATTGTACATTGGCTTCTGGCTGGCCTGGGCCAGGGCCAAAACAGCGGGGGCCGTTCCTTCACTGTTTCCAGGATGGCTTCGCGGGCCACATGAAACCACTTTGTGGGCCACATCCGGCCCCCAGTCCTTGTGTTTGACATGTCTGCTGTAGACCATCGCCATCTTTCCCTTTATAGACACAATACATCACATCTTACCATAACGTCCCTATGAAGTGGGTTGGGCTAAGAAAAAGTGATGGGCCCAAAGTCACCCAGCTGACATGCATGCTCTAAATCCTGCAAGAATTCAAGATCTCCTGGTTTTTAGCCCATCAGAACACTAAAATGGATCTCAGTAGGTTCTGAGGGCATAGGGAAAGGCCTTGAAGAAAGGCCGTGATCAGATCAGCATGGCTTAAATCCATTTTAAGAACTCATTTGAGAAAACATCTCAGACCATCCCTATCCCAGTCATGCTAATGTGGTGTTTTGGTTTTTTTGTTCCGATGGAAGAAAAGGAGAAAGAAAAGGGACTGGTAAAAGGGTAGAAGGGGCTGCTTTCCAGCCTTCCTTTTTAAGAAAAGATTGGATAACTATTTGTCTGAAATGGGATATAGGGTTATCTGCCTGAGCAGGAGGGTGGACTAGAAGACCTCCAAGGTACCCTTCACCTCTGTTATTCTGTTATAACTATGCATGTGAAAGGCCCAGCTGTTCATGGCATATGTTATTGGTACACAAATGTAAATTTAATGCCTGGGAAAGTGAGTGGAAGGCTACATCATATGTCTCCTGCAAATTTATTTATTTTAGTAATTTATAATACTGCCCAATTATATAATAACCCTGGGCAACATAGAGTAAAAATAAACAATTAAATAAACAGCCACAATCCCCATCCCAATCCAGAAGAAAAGCAACCATTAAAGGGTTTAAATTAAAAACTCATCTCATTGTTTCTGTGGTGGTTCTTCTTTTTAGAACTTTTATACAATAATTACAGACTTCATTTGCATTCATTTAAATGTTTAGGAATTATCAACAAAAAGCATTCCCCCCCCAAAACAATTTCAAAAATAAAACCTAAGTTTGAAAATACTACAAATAATTGTCTTGATGCAATTGCTCTGGTTAAACATACCCTATTGCTAATTGAAACCTAGATTTCTGAATTAAGTTTCTAACATGATTTTTTTTAAAAAAGGTGTTATTTCATATAATTTTATATCAATTAATGCTGTTCATTCATTGGGTAAAAACTAGTGAGAAACAGCTACCATTTTTTTTTTTTGCAAAACTGGTAGATAAAATGTTGATCATTCATATATTTCAAGTCCCAGAAACTTTATAGATATTCATAAATCAAGAAATAATATTACCACTCTATATCCAGAATCAACATCCTGGAATGCTGAAAGTTGGTATGTGATTTTGCTCAATCTGTGCTATTGCTTGTACAATAGATAATCTATCCCAAAGGTGCTTTTTCAAGAGACAACTGGACTTTCTTGAATTTCTTTGAAGACGTTTCGCTTCTCATCCAAGAAGCTTGCAATAGACAGTCTACTTTTGCTAATCTGGACTTTTGTATGAACTCCAGTCTTCACGTGATTGTAGCTTACTATTTTTCTTCACATCAGTTCAGACATAGAGACTGTTATATTTAAAGAAGAATATTTGTAGCTCAGGGTTGAAATGAGGGTATCCTTGGTGCTCCCTGAGCTTGGTTCTTTTAGGTTTGCACTGCTTAATGAAATGTCTACAAGAACAACAATCAAACTCAGAGAGCACCAAGGACCTCTCAACTATTATATATTATTCTTTTGCCACTTGCTCTATGACATAGTTAAGAAGCACAAATATATATGTTTGCATGTATTGATTTTACGATTGCTACTCAGAGTCACTTGTTTGAGATGGACAGTTTTAGAAGTTGAATAAATAAATGAAGGAATGCAGTGCGTTTCAGGTGTAAGGGTTGCCTTTAATTTATGCATGTTCTTTAAAATGTTCCTTTTACATTCCCTTTGTCACCAAAGCAAACCAGAAAGTCAGGTGTTGGAAACTGCCTCAAATGCCTGGAAAATGAGGGCGGCAGCCAAACTTCGTAACTTTGCAGGAGTGAGTCATAATTCAAATGGAACAGCTGTTCCTTGCTGGAAGGTAAACAGTCTCTCTCTCTCTCTCTCTTTCTCTCTCTCACTCTCTCCCCCCCTTCTGTATGTGTTTTCAAATGAAAATTGCAAAAGACTAGATCAAATATATGGATTTCCTTGTGCAAAACCCTTTTTATTTAGATTTTAAAAAGACGCAAGGAGTTTAGTAGGCTTCTAATGCGTACATTTTTGCAAATGCAGAGAGATATGCTTGAACAGAAGGTTTAGAAGTACCTCTGGCCCAGGGATCAGGTCGGCAAGGCAGAGTCTTTCAAGCACTTTACTCACATTGGCCAAGCAAAGTGATATTGTAGGTAGGTAGCTAGGTAGGAGAAAGGCAGCTCTGCCACTATTTAAATGAGACAAGCTTGAGATACGATGCATCTCGTATCTCCTTTTCCTACTCAACTGACACTAGCTTTGAGGGAATGTTGTAAATGCAAGAGAGATTGTGGTATAATTCCTCAGACTGGCGTTTTTGCCCCCCAGTCACTATTCGATTATCTTCCAAATTGCTGTGTTTCAGAGAGATAAAGATTTTTTATGGCTTGCTGACTTGAAACAACTAGAAGAGCCAGAAAAGAGGACGCTAACTGGCCATGCATAGTAATTCCATTGGTGAATGCAAAATCTTTGTTTGTGTGACATTTCCAAAATTACTGCAGAAGATGAATCTGAAATATAAAATGTCACATTTGGCATGCAAAACTATCACAATATATTTCAGTATAAAATTCATAGAGGCGTTTAATTTAGAATGTGTTTAATAACTCGGTCTGACTGCATCAGTAATCCTGCCTTGAGGTTTTGGAAACATTGTCTGATTTATTCATTCACATGATGCTAATTGTGTGTCTGTGTGCATGTGTGTGTGTGTATGTATATATCTAAAAATATTAAGGTTAATTCTTCACTGTTAATTAAGAATTTTCTACTTTAACTTAAATAATTGCCATTGAGATTAGTTTGTTAAGTATAGATTGTGTTGACAAAAACAAAAGAGGTTTAACTTCTTCAAGTGATTTTTTTTTTACACTGCTAAATGTAACTTCACATGTTCTCTATCTATATGGAAATATTCTGTTTCTCTAATTATAAATTGAAGCCAGGAGTTTTTAAAAAGAGATTATTGGTCGTTATATTCCTTAGGGCATGCCAGGATTAAAATATTTGTATTCTGTGGGCACTGTCATAATCACACATTCTAAAAGAAATAAATATTTCCATTGTGTGTAGTGTATAGGTCTCATAATATTATCATACGTCTTTATAATATATGACTAATGTGTGATTAACTTATATGGTTAAATATCTTTGATATATTGAATAACTCATTTGAGATCTTGAAGAGGACTGTGCAACCATGAGCACATTGTGCCAAGCCTTGGTTTAAAGTACAAATTCTAAAATATTTTGTTAAAGGCATGCTTTTCTTTCATGTGTTATCAGATTTCATGTTAAACAATTAGGATCAAGTACTTTAATTTGAAATTAATGAATAAATAAAGTATGCACCATGATATACTAAGACAAAAGCTTACTAAAAACCTCACAATATTAGAATCTTAATCTCTCTAACAACACAAACAATATAATGTGTCCATGGAAAAAATCAAGAGGTTAAGCCTTTACTTCATGATTTCAGTACAAGTTAGGTAACGCTGATGGCAGTATCCAGTGAAGTCAGGGGGAAGAAAAGTGATGCATTGGGACAATGAATATACTGTTTGAGTATAATTAGACCTGTAGCTCAGCATAAAGGGGGGGGGGGCAGAGTTGTTCAGGAGGTTAGTGTAACAATCCATTCTCTTTGTGGGAATTAGAATTAGGATAATAGAATTGGAAGGGACCTTGTAGGTCATCTAGTCCAACCCCCTGCCCAAGTGGAGACCCTACACCATTTCGACAGATGGCAGTTCAGTCTCTTCTTGAAAGCTTCCAGTGATGTAACTCCCACAACATCTGAAGGCAAACTCTTCCATTGGTTAATTGTTCTCACTGTCAGAAAGTTTTTCCTTTTTTCTAGGTTGAATCTCTCCTTGATCAGTTTCCATCTATTATTCCTTGTCTGGCCTTCAGGTGCTCTGGAAAATAGGTTGATCCCCTCCTCTCTGTGACAGCCCTTCAAATATTGGAACATTTGTATTTTGTCTCCCATTGTCCTTCTCTTCACTAGACTAGCCATACCTGGTTCCTGTAACTTTCTTCATATGTTTTAGTCTCCAGTCCCTAATCATCTTTGTTGCTCTTCTCTGCACTTTTTCTAGAGTCTCAACATTTTTTTTTTTAATAGTGGGGAGACCAAAATTGGTTGCAGTATTCTAGGTGTGGTCTTACTAAGGCTTTATAGAGTGGTATTAGTACCACACATGATCTTGATTGAATCCCCCTGTTAATGCAACTTAGGATTGCATTGGCTTTTTTGGCTGCTGCTGTACACTGTTGGCTCATATTTAATTGATTGTCCACTAAGACTCCAATATCCCTCTCACAGTTACTGCTATTAAGCCTGCTTCCCCCCAATCTACACGTATACTTTTGAAAACAGGGAAACAGACCACAGGTAGTCCTTGACTTATGACTACAAATGAGTCCAAAAGTTCTGTTGCTAAGTGAGTTTTGCCCCATTTTATGACCTTCCTTGCTACAGTTGTTCAGTGAATCATTGCAGTTGTTAACTTAGTAACACAGTTGCTAAGTGATTCTGGCTTCCCCATTGACTTTGCTTGTCAGAAGGCCACAAACGGTGAGCACACATGACCCTGGGACATTGCAACTGTCATAAATATGAACCCAGTTGCCAAGCATCTGATCACATGACCATGGGGATGCTGCAACAGTAGTTAAGTGTGAAAAAAGATCATAAATCAATTTTTTCAGTACTGTTGTAACTTTGAATGGTTACTTAATGAATGGTTGTAAGTTGAGGACTACCTTTAAAGTATTTTTTTTTAGTGTTGCCAAACAGTAGCAATATCTTTTTTAAAGGGAAGGGGGTGATATGCTTCTAAAGTCGTCCTCGTATGGGATGAGAACAGAAGCATATTTCAATATTTGAAACAACTGAATGGGTCAATGTGTTTCATTCAACTAGAAAAAACAGATGTATTAAAATATATTGCCAAGAGTTACTTCAGAATTTCAGGTTTCTCCACGTATTCCTGATTAGTGGAGTATTGACTTTGAATGGGAGAGAGAGAGAAAGGGGGGGGGGGAAGAAATATTATGTTGACATAGAGTATACTGAAAAGAAAATGGGGATCTTTCAAAATAACCTTTTCTCCCAGCTTAACTCAGACTGTTTAAAAAAGTACTGATTATAAGTGTTGCTCTCTCCCACTATTCTCCCTTAGGTTAACCGCACTAAAAAATCTCAATTTACTGATATCCATCTAAAATGCTTAAGGGGTATCAAAGACAAAGTGCCACAAGGTAGTTACAGTCTCAAGGTTTCCATCTGTAAACAACTTGATGGAAAATTTCTTTCTTGCTTCAAAGTGGATGGACAACAATTGGTCGGAAAGTCACTGCCTGTGAGACATAATGGGAACTTCTATGACGTGGAGATCTCTTTTGGACAAAGCATATACACAGTAAGTGAAGTTTCTTTAATACATTATTTGGCTTTGTGGTTGGAAAAAGTACTATTCTCTACTGAGCTACATTACTTTCCAGAACTGAGTGCCTTCCACAGGTGGGCCAGCTCCTTTTTTTTCCAACTTGGCTGGAAATTCTAAGAACTAACACCACATCTGAATCAGTCTGGCGAAATATTTAGTACTCTTCTTGTGCTCATATTCTATTTAACATTTTAAGGTTAAATCTGGGCTCAGGCAGAATTGTCTATCTTGCCTTACTAATGTAGAAATTATTTCAGTCGCTGAGCACAGTTATATAGCAAATAAGCAAGTAATATATTTATTATAGTATTCCAAAATTAGCAGATATATTAAACCCTAAATTATGCAGCATTGTCAGCCACATTTAGGTTTTGGCTTGCTTCTTAAAAAGTCTATGCAGCTTGTCATCCATGTGATATGATTTGGGTAAAGTAGATTTAGAATAATAAATGAATAAGTAGCTGTAGATAAATACATGAATGTATAGATTTTTTTCTATGTTTTAAACTTCATGGATCCCCACTTGTGAAAAAGAGTGAAGTTTCTGAACAAATTCCCAAATAGGTAAATATTTGGAAAGTTGTTGATGATATCAGTGATGAATTGTTTTATTCAGAGAGGTGGGGGAAACAGTCTTAAGAGTTCTTCATTTATCTCAGGGGTCTTCAAACTTGGTCCTTTTATGACTTGTGGACTTCAACTCCCAGAATCCCTCAGTCAGCATGCTTGGCTGAGGAATTCTGGGAGCTGAAGTCCACAAATCATGAAAGGGCTAAGTTTGAAGACCCCTGATTTATCTGATAAGCACAAACTTTACTACTCCCCAGTACCTACCTACCTGCATGTATATGTATATGTATATGTGTATTTCTTTAAATTATTTTAGATTCATGTGAAAGATTTGGTGTGTGTGTGTGTGTGTGTGTATGTGTGTGTGTGTGTGTGTAGGCCAAAAGTTTATATTAGTTTATTGCATTATTGAGTCATTCCTGTAAAAGGTAGCCAGGAAGAGGATAAAACCAAAACATATACACACATAATATTGCCCCCCAAAAAACAGATGGGCAGGGTAAAGTAAATTTGATTTGACTTAACTTACATGCAATTAATTAATATGAAGCATATATCATTATTCTTCTTCTTGTATTTTTTCCTGTCACATTGAATTTTGTAACTCTGTCCTCTGGAAAAAACAACAGCAACAGTAGGGACATGTTGCAGGCTTTTAGCACCTGCCTATTATCCTGGAAATTTGTGTTGTGTATTTTTGATTTACTGGATAAATCTTGTTCATTGGATTGCCAGAAAGCACTGTGATTGGTCACTATGAATTGATGTGGTTGTGGATTTTGTACGAGATTCTTCTGAAGGTGAATCATGTTTTTCTGCCTATTCTGTCAAATATAATGGATGCATATATCTATTCCTTGCATTAACTTTCACCACATTCTATTTTAATTTTATAATCACCGTCTACTAGTGGAAACTGATTCTTCACTGATGTCACAGAGCTCCCTATGATTCATGCTGTTAGTTGTAGAGTGGATCATATATCTGAGCACTTCGTCAGATTTCAGAAAAGCAAAACATGACTTTTCCAAAACATTCCCATTTTGAAAATACTCAAGATTTATCATGCATCAAGGAAGTGAAAACTCTTCCAAAGACACATGGATTATAATTCAATTTCAATATCATGGTTCCAAGGAGAAAAATATAAAAATGCTTTTAGAAAAATTAAAAATACCTTATTTTTAATATCAAAGATGCATGATTCAGTATTACTCCAATGAGGCATGTTTTAAAAACTTATTATGCCTCATTGGAGTAATACTGAGTCATGTTTTTCAAACTAAATATGTTTTTTTTTTTCAAACTAAATACAACTCCAGAAATGTCAAAGACAACCATAGGGAAGAAAGTAAGATTTGTAGCAAAGTAGAAAAACAGATAGAAATTACAACTTGAAGAAAAAATAAAGGAACTGCAACAAATTCACAAACCAATCCAAACTGTCAGATATTGAGAAGCTAAATAAAGTCAAACAACAAATAGACTTTTTATAAATGGAAAAATTCCAAAAATAGATAGCATATGTCAAACCAAATCACTTCAAGAATTTAAGCAAACCAGGAAAACCTTGGAAGCATTATTTTAGAAAAAAAAAGAAAGAAGGGCTGTTAAAGAAGAATTACAGAATTTTTCAAAGAATTAAAGGTTAAGCTTAAAATTGACAAAGAAGGCTTCAAAAGATATACAGTAGTAAAGACTTAATTTTAAAAAAATTGAAGAACACAATTAGCTGAACCCACAAGTACATGTCCAAAATCATACATATAGATTGAACTGATTGCATTGAAAAGAGAAAGATGAGAGACAACAGCAGATTTCATGAATGCATAAGAATACATTAATAAGAAATAAAAAAGGTGGTGGTAATAATATTCTTAGACACAGAGAACATATCAATGATTTGAAAATGGACTTTCCTATTAGAGATATTTGGCAAAATGAACCTAGGAGAAAAGTCAAAACTTGGATAGTGTGTATCAATGGCAAGAGCAAAAGCAGAGCAAATAGGGATCAGAATTTGCATTGCTAAGTAATGTAGTTGTTAAGTGTTGTATACTATCGAACTCATCTTTGTGACGCGGGCAGCCATATAAATTGGTTTGATTAATAAATAGCATAAGTGAGTCACGTCTGATTTTATTATCTTTTTTTGTTTGGTAAACAAATCACTGCAGTTCTTAAGTGAATCAGGGGTTGTTAAGCTTCCCTTCTTTGACTTTGTTTATCAAAAGCCGATTGGGACGGTTGAAAATAGTGGTCAGATGATCCTGGGACTCTACAATCATCATAAATGTATGCTGGTTGGCAAGTGTCTGAATTTTGATTACATAACGGTGGAAATGCTGTGATAAACGTAACTTGAGGACTGGTTATAAGTTACTTTTTTCAATGCTGTTGTAACTTTGAACAATTGCTAAACAAATGGTTGTAAGTCGAGGACTATCTGTGCATCAATGGGATATTGAAGTCCTTAGAAATCTGAGTTTAACATGCATAAATCTTTATGGGCTGTAGTAACTACACATGAGTAAAATGGCTCTTATTCTCTAGTTCTTATTATTCCTATTATTCATAGGCTGCTGTAGTGCTAAGGCTGGATATTTCTCTCACTTAATGCCATGCAAACTGGTTTGCAAATTGAGGAACAGAGCCCTCTGCCATTATGTTAATAAAAATTGAAAAAGGTTGAAGAAGTGTTGACAATACAATATATTCTTCCTAAATTTAAACACAATAATGTTGCCTTAAAAATGAAACTTTTCCCAATAAAAATACAGAACAGTAATATTATTCAACCTCAGTATCAATACATATGTAATTAATGTGACAAACAGTAATACTACCAAGCAGCCCAAATTCTTATATTTAATATTTTAACAAAACTGCCCTAGCTGAACATAATATCTAGTGTGGCCCTCTCTTTGAAAGACACACTCAGAAATTTGTCCATTCAGAATACATAGACGCTGATTGGAAGAGATTCACACAGATATTCAAACCTAGAGATACTGCTAGACTTTGTGTCAACCTGGCAAAGTAGGACATTTGCTAGCTCTCGCTAAGGTGCTACTTTGCTTTACTTAAGCGAAATTCAGGAAGCATAAAACAGCACCTTTTCAAACATGACATTTAATCCATGCATGTAAATCAAACTTGGGAGTAATGTATTATTCACTATTAAAAAGGCACCATATTTTTATTATATCAAAAATGACACCCAAATGCTGTGAAAAATTTAGTGGCTTCTCTTGAAGTTTCAAGACACTTATCATCCAGTCATTGAGTTGATGCTGGCACCAATTTTAAATTATAGCTATCAAAATAATAAGCACAACATTTTTTGGCCTAGAAAGGAGTTGGAGAGGAGCGTGAAAAATTTTACTGTAAAATATGAATTTATTTTTTAATATAAGGCTTTCCTAAATCCATATCATGCAGTTTCTTGGTAATATTCTGAAAGAGATTGGTATGAGAAATATCTCTTAATATCATTGTCCTTAATAGTCACACCCTCAATTTTTTCCCCTGAAGTCCTTTCTGAAAGCTACATATATCAAAAACTATTTAACATGACCTAAGGTATCAATTCTAAAATATGATGACACTATCATTTCCTAAGCCTCCGTTTTTTCTGAGTCAGCATCTGACTAGGAGCTAAGATATTTTTTTAACAGCAACAAATAAAGTATTAATAATTAGGTTAAAGGAAAAAAACTTTTTCGCTATGGCTGATCACAAAGTCAGCCAGATGTTTAGATTGGATTTGGTATTTTTGTCCCCCTGTCCGTCCCTAAGACTTAGGATAGGCAGATGTTATTGTTTAACAATATTTAACAAGTTATTGCCATAAGATATAAGGTGTTCCAAATAAAGGTACTTTTTGCAGCTGTAATAGTAATAATAAAATAGACTGGTATTGATTTTGACAATGTCAGTAGTGTTCAAGTGGTGCTCCAATTGTTTTGGGATTGGGATCTTTCTCCTCCTCCTCCTCCATCACCACCCCCACCCCCACCACCTCCTCCTCCATTACCCACCTCCTCCTCCTCCTCCTCCTCCTCCTCCTCCTCCTCCTCCTCCTCCTCCTCCTCCTCCTCCTCCTCCTCCTCCTCCTCCTCCTCCTGTGTTTCTGCAGCTTCTGTTTCTCTTGCTTTTTCTCCTGCTTTTTGTAGGTCTTTATATTTTGTGATTTTTCTCCAGTTCTTTCTCTTCTATTCTGCTATCTCCAGGTACTGCCACGTGCACTATCCAGACTTTTTTTTTTGGTCTTTCTTATTATTACTATTATGCCACACTTTAGCATACTTCATAGGTAGGGAAAACCTCAGTGCCTACTAAGCTCAGCATTTGAAATGCTACAAATGTACCTGGATGTAAACAAATACACTTTTCAAAATAAG